CCAAGGTCCTGAAAAGCTCTAATTAATTTCAAGTAAAAAGAATGTAAGACATCACAGAACTTCACCTGAGTTCTTGTAAGAATTGGGAGAGCAGTCAGTTCTGAGAAAACACAGAGCATACAGCCATAAAAAACCAAAACTGTCTGCAAAGGAAAGCCTGACAGGTATCATACTGCCATGACACTGCATAGTCAGTGAACACTCATCCTTTTATCCACATGCTCATTCCAGGTCTCCTTGAGGTGTGCTGCTGAAAAGGGCAAAGTACCCGAAGTGCCTGATCATTTGGCACGAATTTCAGCAGTATCTAAGCCAGTTATTCCAAGTTACATTTACAAGTAATTTAGTTAAACCAGTGTGAAAATCCCCCAGAGATATGATTTTAAGACCAGTTTATATAATCCTGGTCTTCCTCAAACTTCACCACTGCAATCCACATCATTAGATCAGTTATAAATCCACTCTAAATCGACAGACTCATTACCAAAACATGCAGTTTGTCAGTTTTCCACCAGTACCCTGCCTCTTAACAGAGCAGCCACTTAACCAGCATATCTTTCCTAAAAATGAAACAAAGAAACAGACCATGAGATACCAAGAAGATGGAAGACAGGAGGACAATATGCATACAGAGACAGAGAAGACAGCATGTGGAGGATGATTCTGGCATAAAGCTTTCACACATGTATACCTGTGCCACAGACTGTATCACCTAAACTGAAATTCTTCACTAAGAGTTCAAGACTTCTGTTCAGTTATCTAATTGCTCACTGTTCATCCTGAATTCAGTTAGCAACAATTCTCTTTTAAAATGCACAGAGCTAAGATGGCTGGAAGTTTTATGCTACTCAAGATGTCAGGCAGAAGACTTCCTCTACCTGGGATGATGACTGTGCTGTACTACACTGCTGTCAAACAAATAAGCCTGCTCTGTTTATCACAATTCAGACTTCTGAGCTATTCATCCCTACAGCAAAGCCTCTGCAGACTAATTTGCACTGCAGCTTTAAAGTAGTTTACATTTTCTCCCTTGCTGTATCCACATTTCCTGCTTTGACCTAACACATATTTCAGCTTTACATGCTTGAATGTCACATCAGGTACAAACAGGATGATGCTCAGCTGACGTTTGGGAGATCTCCTCTTGAAAATGTGAATGCTAAAGCGCTTTCTTTTCAGTGTTAAACATAAAGTATCTGGACAGGACAATCTAAAGTACGTGTAGACAGAAACAGCAGAAAAGGTGGTATCCTGCATTTTTTTTCATGTAACACAAGGATCTCTAATGACAGGAGGAAGGACAGTAAAACCACTGGTCACTTTTCTCCAATCAATATCATCTCTCTTGCCTCAAGAAATCTTGTTACAAGATCACAACTCAAGATATAGTGTTGTGATACTTTAGGAGAAATACCTATTAGAGGACATAGATAAACTGAGAAAAGTCACAACTCCCATTCTAATAAACCCTGAAGTGTTTTGCTTTGCTTTTATACTGTTTTTCTTTTTTCCTGCCAAATAACTGATCAATGGATAAACATTATACTTTCTTGCCTGAAGGCAGTTACCAAGGCAGTGAATAACCGCACACAGTCTCGGGGAATGATAAACTAAAGGACAAGAAGCAATACTTGAACATGCCTACACTGAAATAAAACATTTAAGACATTCATGGGAAGACTGATACATAAGAATGCAGATATAGAAATCTGAGTCCATTGGATGATTGATGCTGTGCAAAACTCATGACTTGGAAAACTGGCTGCCTCATGGACATACCTGCTGAACAACAGTATTTCAACAGCTAGAGCTCTGGGTTCTTTATAGATACCAGAGTTAGAGACTAATAATCAGGAAATCTCAAAACCAGGGAGAAAGTGTATCACTTCCCACCCTGCTTAAAGAAACATGGAAGAAAAAATTTAGAGCAGCCCCTCTGATGCAAATTGTGGCAGGAGACCCAGAAAACAAACAGACGAAATAAAGCAGCATAGTAACTGATAACTGCATTTCAGAAAAAGACGCAAGAAATAGTTAACATCCAACCTGCTCATAATAAAGTTTCTTAAGTTCAGTTGGACACTGGATTAACTCAATGCAAGTCTAAATATTAAGATTCACATAAACATCTATATTTTTTATGAAATGCAACAAAATATTTCAAAAGGAAAGTTACACAGTATTATAAATATTTCTCTTATGTCCAAGTGCCACAATTTCTTGTGCCTTCAACATAAAAAGGACATGGAGCCCTTGGAACAAGTCCAGAGGAGGGCCATGAGGATGATAAGGGGGCTAGAGCACCTCCCGTATAAAGACAGGCTGAGAAAGTTGGGGCTGTTCAGCCTGGAGAAGAGAAGCTGTGCGCAGACCCCACAGCAGATCCCCCTAAACATGGGAAGTTCAGGTTAGGTATCAGGAAGAAGAATGATTCTATGAATTTAGAATTGTAGTATAGTTAGGGCTGGAAAGGTTCTTAAGATCATCGAGCTGCAACTCCCCCGCCATGGGCAGGAACACCTCACACTAAACCATGTCATCCAAGCCTCTGTTCAACCTGGCCTTGAACACTGCCAGGGATGGAGCATTCACAACTTCCCTAGGCAACTCATTCCAGTGCCTCACTACCCTTAAAAAACTTCCTGCTTATATCCAATCTAAACTTCCCCTGTTTAAGTTTTAACCTGTAACCCCTTGTCCTATCACTATACTCCACAATGAACAGTCTCTCTCCAGCATCCTTATAGGCCTTCAGATACTAGAAGGTTCCTATGAGGTCTCCACGCAGCCTTCTCCAGGCTGAACAGCCCCAACTTTCTCAGCCTATCTTCAAACGGGAGGTGCTCCAGTCCCCTGATCATCCTCGTGGCCTCCTCTGGACTCGTTCCAACAGCTCCATGTCCTTTTTATGTTAAGGACACCAGAACTGTACACAATACTCCAAGTGAGGTCTCGTAAGAGCAGAGTAGAGGGGCAGAATCACCTCCTTCAACCTGCTGAATTTGTTTCATGTGATTCTTCAAATGATGTAAACAGTATTTGCAAGGAATCTCACAAATTATGGATTACTGATGAGATATAAAATTATTGCATATCCTTATGCATATTAACACAACTTTCTAAGCCTGAATCTATTATTTTGTTTCATATTAAAAAAGAAGCAAATATGTAAGGGAAAGCACATAACTAAGGAGGAAGTATCCAGGATTTATTTTTCTCTAATGTAATATTAGAAACTTTGAGAGGGAAAGGAAGAACACAGTGATGACTCAGAAGGGGTGAACGCACTCCACAAACAGCATATACTTTCCAAGAATAAATATCAGCAATAATATTGAAAGTGAGCATATGCTGAAAGAGAACACTAATCATCTTCAAAAATAAAAATAATCCTTCATCTCACTGTATTTTTAAATTCCTGTTTAGGAATTTTACTTGTATACACACCTGCACCTATGTCCCTGAGCAGATACAAGAATACTGAGATCTGTGCTCCTGCCCTGGGGACTTTTCATCTGCAGGAATGCAACTGAACATACTAAAGTTGGAGGATTCACGTTACACCAACCTTCATATTTCCTATCTCAGTGTAATGATGTAAGCAGAATTTTTAAGCATCTACCACAGCAGTAGTATTTCCACAATGCTGCTTCTTAAAGGCTTAGGTCCAGACACAACTCTAGGAAGTACACAGTACTTCATGTAGAGCTGCCAACAACATAGCTGAGGGTAAAGAAAAAGAATCTGATGGATTTATTATAGATATGCAATGCCAAGTCAGTGCAGCAAAATCTATCTCGTGAACTAATCTGCATAAAAGGATACAGAAGAAAGCAAAAGGCACCAGGACATAATATAACAACTATCACCAGTACAAAGACTGGAAGAACACACAGAGAAATGAAATTCAGAATAAATAAATACACGATACTCAGAAAGTCCAAGCTCTTGCAAACCAGAAGCAAAACATACTTCAAACATATAAATCCCCCGCCCCAATTTTTCTGACTCAAATAAACTTCCCGTGAAACACACCTGATGGCCACACTCAAGCAGGACATACAAGAAAGCTGCAACATTTGATAAATGCTCCCTGACAACTTCTGGCAGAAGGGAATGTCTCTGTCTTAAGGGTGAAAACGGCTGGGCTGCAATTCTTTAGGCATTTATAGGAATTAAGGTTTAATGCTTTATTATAATGCTGCCTCTCAACTACCTATTCATGAGCAGCCCTATAAAAATCTCATGCTGCTATCAGCCTTTCCTGCTTCTTCACGTATTTATCATTCATTTTACGTTCTGTCTGTCCTGGTTTATGCATTTCTCTTCTTACTTTATTCCCATGGGGTCCGTCACGCCTTCTCACGCTTGAGACTGCAAATCCTTACACTGTGCTCAAATTCAATCCCCCTGCTTGTGCTTCTCGCACGCCCGAATTGCCTCGCATGCCATCAAACGTTTCACTAGCCCAAAAGACAGACCTCTAATGTGCCCCCAACACGTAACCGCACTGGAGATTAAACCCCCGACCGCTCCCCAGCGCCCGAACCGCCCAGCTCGGCGGGCTAACGGCGGCCGTAGCCCGGGGGAGCCTCTCCCCTGCCCCAAGGCCCGCTAGGGCCCGCCACAGCACCCGCCCCCCCCCCGCCCAATGGCGACACCACCTCGGACTGCGCTCGTACCTACAGCGCCCCCCGCCGCCGCCCCGAGGCCCGGCGGCGCCCGAGGCGCTGTCAGCGCTGGGATCAGATACAACCGGAGGCCTCCGGTTCCGGGCCCTGGAGGGGGCTCCCGAGGGGGCGGCCACCACCCCACTCGGGGTGGCACACACACAGGGCGGCGGCGCCCCACCGGGCCTCTTCCCTTCCGAATCAGGGGTAGGGGAGAGGCGAGCGGGCGGGAACGAGGCGCCCGCCGCAGAGGCTGCCACTGCGGCCCGGCACGAGTGGCCTCACGGCGGGAGCCCCGGGGAACGAGGTGAGAAGGAAAAGAGCCGTTACCTGCGCGATGGAATCGCAGTCTCCGCGGGCTCGGCTGGGCTCGGCTGAGCGCTGTCCCTGCCCGGCCCGGCCCGAGCTCCTCCTGGCGGCCGCCGCCCTCACCTGCCCCCGGGAATCCACCCGCGTCCCGCTCCGCTCCCTGCGCCGCCTCAGGCCGGCTCCGCAAGATGGCGGCGCTTCCGGGAGAGACCACAGCTGGATGGAGGTGGAGGGGCCGGAGCTGTGAGCCCGCCCCCCTCCTACCGACCTTGTACTCCGCGCCCCGCCCGACACCGCCTCACTGCGGCTGCAGGCTCCCCCGCCTCCTCACGCTCAGTGCGCTCGCCCGCCCCTCAGCCGGCGCGGCGCGGCGCTGCCCGCGATGGGGCTGGCGGAGGCGCTGGGCGCCGGCGCGGCGCGGCTGCTCTTTTACCCAACGCTGCTGTACACGGCGGTGCGGGCGCAGCTGCCCGGGTCCCGCCGGCCCTGGTTCCACCGCATCGACGGCGCCGTGCTGCTGGGGGCGCTGCCGCTGCGGGGACGCAGCCGCAGGGTAAGGCGGGAGCGGCGGGGCGGGGCGGGCCGCGTGGGACCGGCAGAGCTTGACGGTGACTGTGCCCGTAGCTGGTGGCGGAGGAGAACGTGCGCGCCGTAGTCACCCTCAATGAGGAGTACGAGACCCGCTTCCTCTGCTGCTCCGCCCAGGTGAGCCCGGGAGCTGCCGGTGCCCCTCAGGGTCTCTTGCCGGTCCGCCCGTCCCGGAGCTGGCGAGGCTTTAGCCGGGATCCTGACAGCGAAGACGCGGTTTTTTCGTACCTAAGCCAACTTCTAACACTGTGCGAGAGGCCGGTAAAAAGTGAGGATGGAAGGGAAGTACTAGAGCTGCAGCGGCGGAGAGGGAAGGGGAGCATTGCATCTATGTACATCACTGTGCACGTACAAGAACACCTTTTGCCTCGGGACGAGATCCCAGCTCCCCTCATTTCCTTCAGCTGAACCACACCTTTTAAGTTCCCTTTAACTTCTCCTTTCTGATAGCCCGCACTGAAGTTTTCATACATCTGGTTTAAAAGAGCCATACACAGAGTGGTTCTATTCTATGGAATGGTTTATATTGACATTAAAAGTCTGCTTACAACCCCACTGAATTTCCCAACTGTCTCAACGGGTTCCAGGTTTTCTTTCTGGAACTAAAAACAACCAACCCCCCCACCCCCCCAATTAACTGATCAAATCTGCTATGTCCATTTCAGGAATGGGAGGCAATGGGAGTGGAGCAACTGCGTCTCAGCACCGTGGATCTAACTGGCGTCCCCACCTTGGAAAACCTCCACAAGGGTGTTGAATTCATTCTGAAACACCGAGCCTGTGGTCACAGTGTCTATGTGCACTGCAAGGCAGGACGCTCCCGCAGTGCCACCATGGTGGCAGCGTATTTAATTCAAGTAAGAAGTATTCAGTGCTAAATGGGGTTTATTTTTGTACAGTCTCAGCAAATACATCCAACCATTACAGTTTGCTTTTGCTTAATAAGCCTGACCATTAATAAGCAGGCGCATTAATGTTCTGTGGAATCATAGAACAGTTTGGGTTGGAAGGGACTTTCAAAGGTCATCTAGTTCCAGCCCCCCTGCAATGAGCAAGGACATCTTCATCTATATCCGGTTGCCCAGAACCACATCCAGCCTGGCCTTGGATGTCTCCAGGCATGGCACATCCGCCATCTCTCTGTGCAGCCTGTGCCAGGATTGTACCACCCTCATTGTGAAGAATGTCTTCTTCACATCCAGCCTGAATCTCCTCTCTTTTAGTTTCAAACGATCATCCCTTATCCTAACAGCAGCTGCTAACAAAGTCTCTCCCCACCTTTCTTATAGGCCCCTTTTAAGAACTGAAAGGCTGCAATAAGATCTCCCCAGAGTCTTGTCTTCTCCAGGCTGAACAACCTCAACTTTCTCAGCCTTTCCTCGTAAGAGAGGTGCTCAATTACATGTATACACAGACACACAGGCACATGTGTATCTACAGCTCTATACATACTACATTTCTTCCCTCCCCTCTAGGTACCTTGATTTTATAGAGTTTGGACTGGAGCCCCAGTTTAGGAGATATCCAGACTCGGACTGATGGTTTGTAGAATGTGACAAATGGAGGTTTTGAATGGTACTTCTGTTCCTAATTCTATGGAGAAACAGATTGAGATGAGAATAGCAATTCACTTGTGAGGGTAGGTTCACTAAGCACATAAACATCAATTTTTGTTCAGATTTTCTCCTTGGTTAGCTGAAATGGTGAACCTTTCTAAGCTTTTCAGTAAATAGAAATCAGGATTAAGAGAAGTGAATTTGGTTTTCTGAGTTCCTGTATGGTCTCTTTTTAACTGACTTATTTCATGAACTTGCATTGATGTTCAGTCCCCGCTGTGAGGAACATGAAGTAAACAAAAGGGGTAAAGCAGCAACTTTTCTAACAACTCTAGTGTTGCCTGTAGCCTCCAGAAAAGCTCCATTAACTCACGCAGGGAGGGAGTGTATTTTCACTTGCAGGGTTTCTGCCTTTTCAGCTGCATCACTGGAGCCCTCAGGAAGCAGTAGAGGCTATTGCCAAGATCCGTCCCCACATCCTCATTCGGCACAAGCAAGTCCAGGTCCTGGAGGCATTTCACAGGAATGTGATTGCTGGGACAACTTCAGAGTGTCAGTAAGATCTACCAAAATCTCTGGTTTGACTGCTTTAAAAGAAACTTACATTTTAATGATTTATGCATTGAACCTTTTGACCACCAATAAAATTTTTACGTATATTACAGTAAAGTTTCATGAAAGCCTTCTTTCCTTATGGCAAATACCTTCATTCTCTTGGAGCCCCACAGTTCTCTCCCACACACAGTATCAGTGCTGAGCTGACCTGCAATCCACAGAAAGTTCTATATTTGCAGCAAAGGAATAGGAAACTCTCAGCAGAGACTTTAATTCCTACCCAAAGGGTTACAGTGCCAACAGAGGGGTACGAGGAAGTGGTCTTAATTCTGTCTTTAATCAACACTACATTATCATTAGATGTTGGGATTCCCTGTACAACAAAGGACGCCAGTGCTCATAAAAACCATCTGTGTCTTTATGCTAGGTGATGACAGAGCAGTAAGCAAGTTGCCAGTTTGTTACCATTCCTCTAGGAGAAGTGCTGAATAATGAAACCTACTTGGGGTCAGCTCTGGTATCTGCTGTAAATATTTCTGCAGTCCCTCCTTCTGAAATAGGGAGGAATGCTTAAATGGATGTCCTCCCTGGAGGACACAGTGGACATCTAACTGTGACTGACATGGCAGCAACACGCAGTCTCCCAGGCAGTTAAAACCAGCAGTTTGGGCCAAGGAAGACATTGTCCGTATGCCATAGGATTTGTTACTGGCAGATTGGTTCCTGGCTAAAAAGGCCACTTGCTGCCGTTTGGGCCTCAAACACAAGCGGCTTGTCATCAAAGGATCAAAGTAATAGCATTTAGTCCACCTGAAATCTAAGATGCAGCCGTTCAACTTTAACAGTGCTATGTAACAGAAGAGGCCCACAGCCAGAAAGCCTGTACTTACTCTGCACAGTATAGAGGATGGGGTCTTTACTGGATGTTGTGAGCTCATAGTAATCGGGACTGGTGCTGAGTGTGGTAGGTGCCTCTGAGCTGCCCAGCAGAATACCATTGCTGCCCTTTCTGTCACTGGGCCTGTTTTTCCTGCTCAGGCCAAGACAAACTGCAGGTTAGTGAGCAGCACTTTGATGCCACTTGTGACTGTTACAACAGAGGTGGCTGGGTTGAGTTTAAAAGTATTTGCGTCACCCTTTTTATAGCGATCACGAAAGACATAGATGCTGCCATTGCAGCTGGCGATTTTCCAGAGGGATGGTACTGAGCTCCAGGCATCTGGCAGGCATAGCCGGGTAAAGCTATCCAGAAGGGGATTATAGCACAGCAGTGAATCCCCCTCGGCTACAATGAACACCACATCCTTGTGTACAGCAGCATGCATGCGGCCTGCAAAAGGCAGTACATATGGCTTCACATGGCATTTCTCTGTGTTGGTATCATAGCACTGAATTAGCCGAGAGGGCTTGGTGAAGAAGTCCAAGTCATTTTCCTCCCCACCCAGCAGGTAAATGACACCATTAAGGTTTACACCTGCAGCTCCAGAAACTGCCACTTCCAACTGGCTGGTCTCTGTCCAGACATTGTCTCGTACTCTGTAATATATGACAGCATTAGAGAGAGTGTCCTGCAGAGTTTTCCCCCCCAGTGAATATATTGCATCCTTGCTTGGCACAGAGACGAGGGTGTGTTGGAGCCTGTCACGAGGCAGAGGAGCACACCATTCCCAGTCTATGGTCGCATTGTTGCATTTCCACATGCGTCGTGGAATGGAGCCACCGACGACATACAGGTCACTACCGTGTTTGCAGGCTGCGGTGATCTGGTGACACAAGCTGTTCTGGCCACTCACGCTTATGGAGTCATCATCAGCACAATGCAGAGAGACGGCCAGTGAATGTGTACGTGATGACTCCTTTCCAATCAGGTAGATGTGAACATTTTCTCCTATCACCTGAGAGAAAGAAGGAGTGTGTCAGCAAAACTTGAGCTGTTTACACAAACAGCAGCGATGCTCAAGACACAAGTTTTCAGCTTAGGACCCACCTGTGGGCCTGAGGTGTGTGATCTGCTTCCCAAGTCCTGCCACCCAACAGCTTTGGAATTCAGATCCACAAAGTCTTTTCAGTATACCAGTCATATCTGACATAGCAGAACAGCAACAGACTTCACTGGAACTCAAAGGTCTGTGGTTTAGGTAAGGCCCGGTTACATCAGTGAGGGAGTAGAGTTATGAGGGGAATGCTCAATTAGGATTTCTGAATGGTCCCTCTGGTAACTGAGCATCTGGTGAAATACGTTATCTGTGGCATTGCTCCAATCACTACTGAAAGCAGCCTCAGGTTACATTAAAAAAGCTGTCAGTGGGGTTACTATCTGTGACAATGAAAGTCTTCCTCACACAGCACCACAAACTTCAATGACATTTGTATTTTGGTTCTTTCAAGTCACACCTGTGAGCAGAATACCCTGCCTTGGGAAGTGTGAAACCAGTAAGTGCTACACCAACACCGGAACAGAAGGGCTTTT